TGATTTTAAAGAAAACTAAAGAAGACAGGAAGAAAAGAATAACAGATCCTGAGAGAGGGAGAGAAGAGGAAGAGATTGAGGAAAGGTAAGTTCGGCATGACAGTGCCGCTTTAAAGTCACATTGTATTTCAAGCACTGCTGGTCAGAAAAAAAACACTGTAGGTAAAAATTAATGAATGAACATGGAAAAATTCAATGGCTTCATTTTAAATAAAGCTACATAAATAATGTGTCCAGAAATCAGATTACTGTGTAATCCACTGTTTCCATATATCTCCATGTTTTAAGAGGCCTTAATGGAAGTCCGTTGCTAAAACTGCCTCCTCCAATATGTGCAATGCAAGATTCTAAAAATGTTCTCTAGGAACAGTTTGCTAGTCATTAGAAAAACAAATGTCAAATTACATGATTTTGCTATTACATGACGAAAAGTCGTGATTTTATTAAAGACACGGAGGTGAGTTAACCCTTTCTTTGCTGTCCACCAATAGCAGCAAAGAATACAAACAGAAAGAAAAAATAATGTAGTGGGCCACTCCCCGTCCCACTATAATAGCAAGCATCTCCCTAAGACTTCCCTCTTTCTTGAAGATGCGACACACCACCACAGGGCCGGACTGGCCTACCGGGACACCGGGAAATTTCCCGGTAGGCCGCCGGCCCTGGGGCCGCTTTAAGATGTGGCTGCACTCAGTCACAAGATAAGAAAAGATATTTTTCCTATTACGTCGTACTTCTGAGGCCCACCGATGCGTCTGCGGCTCGTAATCAGAAGAGCCGAGCGAACGCAATAATTTTTTCCGCCGCCAGCCGCCGGATGTGAGCAGCATATAACAACATGATTTCGGCGGCTGCGCGGCGGCGAATCTACACTGCACAGCATGGCGGCATCCCTTCCCTCCTGCACACAGACACCGGCATCACTGAGCTGAGCTGCCCTGTTTGCATCTTGAAGTTCAGGTAGGAGTAAAGGGGTTTGGGGGACCTACTGTGCATTGCATTTGAGGGGTGTATTAGGGGGAGGGGGGCCAGTAGTGTATTAGATAGTGGGGATGGGGCCCACTAGTGTATTAGATAGTGGGGAGGGGGCCCACTAGTGTATTAGATAGTGGGGAGGGGGCCCACTAGTGTATTAGATAGTGGGGAGGGAACCCACTAGTGTATTAGATAGTGGGGAGGGGGCCCACTAGTGTATTAGATAGTGGGGAGGGGTCCCAGTAGTGTATTAGATAGTGGGGAGGGGGCCCACTAGTGTATTAGATAGTGGGGAGGGGGCCCAGTAGTGTATTAGATAGTGGGGAGGGGGCCCAGTAGTGTATTAGATAGGAGAGGGGGGCCAGCAGTGTATTAGATAGGGGAGAGGGGGCCAGCAGTGTATTAGATAGGGAGAGGGCCCAGCAGTGTATTAGATGGGGAGGGGACCCAGCAGGTATTAGATAGAGGGGGGCCCAGCAGTGTATTAGATAGGAGAGGGGGGCAGCAGTGTATTAGATAGGGAGGGGGCCCAGCAGTGTATTAGATAGGGGGAGAGGTGGTCAGCAGTGTATTAGGTAGGGGGGGGGTCAGCAGTATATTAGATAGGGGGTTCAGCAGTGTATTAGATAAGGGGGAGAGGGGTTCAGCAGTGTATTAGATAGGGGGAGAGGGGGTCAGCAGTGTATTAGGCGCAGTAAATTATGGGGCTGGCAATTTCTTATTTTTTCCAGGGCTGCTTTGTATCCCCAGTCCGGCCCTGCACCACCATAACAGTCCAAAGAATAAGAAACATCAGACGTAGTACAACAGAGAAAAAACAGACTGCCAAGTTTATTGGGTCAATTCAGGAAACAGAGCAAACAGGAAACAAATCCGGACCAGTAACAGAACAGCTTCAACCAAGAAAACAACTTCCAAGGACAATACGAAGAGACATCGAACAGGTCCAGATCAAGCTGTGGAAACATAAAGGAACAAGAACCCAAAGGTTAAATCGATACTGTGAAGAATCCCCCTCCATTCATTCGATACTTTCCCTCCCTGCTACTTTATTCATGGATTTATTACTGTGACGAAGTGCCCTTCGCCACTTGTGCCTGGAGAGGACTGCTTGCCCGCCTCTTGCCCTGTGACTATGGACCCTGGGAGATTTGGCCCATTCAATTCAGTATGATAGGAGTTATGTATTTTTGTATCCTTTTGTGTTTTACTGGGAACATGTGCTCAATGGAGTCTGCTTCTATCCCTGGATAATTGGATTACTTTCCCCATTGTCTCCAGGCTAGAGGGCTCTGTAAAACCAGTTTGGGCCAGATAGCCATGCTGCCAGCCAGGCCCCAAAAGATACTTTACTAACTTCTTAACCCCTGGTCTGATTCATGCCATTTTTTGATATGTTGTTTCCCTGAATGGATTGATTGTGAATATATAATTTTTATGTGAATGTGATGTATATTTTAGAAGTTATGAATATGCTGTAAAAACTTTATTTTTCCTGCCTGTGATAATTGCATCTTCTATTGTATAAGATAATTGAATCACAGACAGAGGGGAGGATTTTGTGTGGGCTGTAACCTCTGTTTTATTGGCTACTGTAGATAACGTGTGTGTCCCTCCCCTGCATGGGAGCAGGGCATAAAAAAACTGTAGCTTGAATACCTGTTGTTGTCACTTCCAGTAAAGTCTTGTTCCAGCATTAAGCTTTGGCTCATGTGTGGATTAATCGGCGATTCCAGGGATATTTCTACTTGTGGAATATTGGGTGACTTTCTTTTATGGGAAGAAGGGAATGCTTGACGGTGATACCTTATACTACCGTCACAGATACCATAAACCAATATCAAGGCCAAATACCCATAGAACCATAATAAACCCAAAACCGCCAACAGTGTACACCCAACAGAGTCTATACAGATCACACCAACCAAAACCATGTAGGTATAATAGCCCACGTAGCGTACCATTGAGCCCCAATCGGAGACAAAAGAACAACAGGGTTGGAAAAACACACATAGGAACACAAGATGAAAATGAAATACTTACCAGATGGGACAATACTCACCTCCGTGTCTTTAATAAAATCATTACTTTTTGTAATATAATAGAAAAATCATGTAATTTTATAGCAAGACACGGAGGGTCATATTGCAAGTTTAAAGCTGGTCGATAACCGCAGAAAAAAACGTGAGTATCCGGACAAAATCAAATTCATGAAACATGGAGTCCCACGGCCAGTCAGCCGTCCTCAACCAGCCCTCCAGATTTGCGCCTGATGTCATAATCAAAGAGGCTGATGCCCAGGAAGAATGGGCAAAAAAAACAGACTTATCCGCACCTGCCTGCAACATCACCCATTTCACCAAGGTCTTACTGTAAACCAGAGAAAAAGGAGGGCAAAGGGAGAGAAAAAAGCTGTGGTGTAGACAAAGAATGATTCGCACTGGTCCAAGCCTCTTACTCACGCAAACAAGCAAAAGGACGCAACTCTGGGGTAGATGAAAAAGCTGGATATGACACAGACTGAATAGCAGTCTTAGTGCATCAGGAGATGTTAAAGGTCACCACGTTTTAGCTGAGAGAATGCACGTCAAAATCCAGAGCACCCACATCCAAGACCCTGAGGCAAAAAATGAGGCAAATGAGGCAAAAGAGGGAGACCAACTTAACCGATAAGGAGAGATCTGCATAAGGAGCCCACTAACCGAAAAGAGACAAAACACATCCCAAGTAATGAGGCGTAATGAAGCCTGGGCACAGGGCTTGAGTCCTGCAGGAATGCGTGGGAACGGCGTTCCTGCACTTTTTCCACAGCAGGAACGCCGTTCCCGTTAGTAGTCCTGCAGGCTCTGATCGAGCCCCCTTCCTTGAGCCAGCAGGGAGATCAAAAGATCTCCCTGCCAACTGTAACAAATTCCCTGGTGGTCCAGTGTGCTGCTAGTGAACTCCCTGGTGGTCCAGTGTGCTGCTGGGGCTGCCGCACTCACACGCTGTTCCGGCGCACTGTGAGTGTCAGAGCACAGGCGCCGGGTTCCCAGCCTGTGCTCTGACATCATCACAATGCGCCGGAACCGCAAGAGAGTGCAGCAGCCAGCAGCACACTGGTCTACCAGGGTGCGAACCAGCAGCACACTGGACCACCAGGGACCCACTGGACCACCATGAAATTCATTATTGCCTCCCCTGCCTGCACAGAAGGTAAGCAGGAGGCGGGGAAATCAAAATATATTAAATGTATTTAAAATCTGTGTGTTTTCCCCTCACTCTGTCACTCTAACCCCCTAAACCTGTCTCACGAGCCCCCCTAACCCTGTCTCTCTAACCCCCTAACCTTGTCTTACTAGCCCCCCTAACCTTGTCTCTCTAACCCCCTAACCCTGTCTCTCACCCCTAACTCTGTCTTACTAGCCCCCCTAACACTGTCTCTCTAACCCACTAACCTTGTCTCACTAACCCCCTAACCCTGTCTCGCTAACCCCCTAACCTCCCTAACCCTGTCACACTAACACCCCTTACCCTGTCTCTCTAAACCTCAAACCCTGTCTCTCTAACCTCAAACCCTGTCTCTAACCCCCTAACCTCCCTAACCCTGTCTCCTTAACCTCCCTAACCCTGTCTCACTAACCTTCCTAACGAGAGAGGATATATATTGTGCACTGCAAATGCCACAGGAGGACAGATCGATCCTGGGCCATGACCAGGAGATCATCCAGGTAGACAATCAGGCGCATGCCACGATTTCGCAATCAGGCCATGGCTGGGCACAGCAGTTTGATGAACCACTAGGGAGCCAAAGAGAGCCCAAAAGGTAGACATGTAAAGCGACAAATGCTGTCTTTCCAATGAAATGGCAAGCGGTCCTGTGACGCCTCGCACACCATTGACCATCAAGGACGCATCCTCTGGATCCAATGTCACCATTAGTGATGTCCCGAACTGTTCGCCAAACGGTTCGCGAATGGTTCACCACGAACGGTTCGCCACGGACTCATCATTGAGTAAACTTTGACCCTGTACCTCACAGTCAGCAAACACATCCCAGCCAATCAGCAACAGACCCTCTCTCCCAGACCCTCCCACCTCCTGGACAGCATCCATTGTGAAGATGCATTGTTAGTGAGCTGTCCAGGAGGTGGGAAGGTCTGGGAGGGAGGGTCTGCTGCTGATTGGCTGAAATGTGTCTGCTGACTGTGAGGTACAGGGTCAAAGTTTACTCAATAATGAGTCCGTGGCGAATCGTTCGTGGCGAACCGTTCGCGAACCGTTCGGCGAACAGTTCGGGACATCACTAGTCGCCATTCAATCGCCAGGCAGGAGCAAGTTCGCAGAATGTACTGTGTGTACATTATTTTTTCTCTCTATTTGTATTCTTTGCTGTTTATTGGTGGACAGTAAAGAAAGGGTTAAGCAATATGAGCCTCTTGCTATAAAATTCAGCTTTCTTCATAATAACTATGGTCAGATTTATCAACAGGGGCCCATCGTCACAAATAATAAGGGTACTTAATCTTTAAAGTGGATTTGTCATGTCTTTGTCAGTTATTATTATTATTGTTATTTTATTATTTATATAGCGCCATCAGACTCCGTGGCGCTGTACAATGGGTGGACTAACAGACAAGTAATTGTAACCAGACAACTGGATGTACAGCTCCATGAGCTTAAATTCTAGTTGTTTGTCATCTTTGTTTTTAAATATACAGGTAATTTGTCAAATTCTGTTCATATAATTTTATTAGTTCAATATGTATCTCAATTTAAAAAACAAACAAAAAACACTCTCAACACATTACGACTCGACTTTTGGCTGACCTCAGGCTGACTAAAATCATCAAAAAGTTATTAAGCGATAGAAGCTAATTAATATTCTGCTAATGCTACCAGGAAGAGGAGACCAGTGACACAACTATAACTGTAACAATAACACGTTCAAAATATACAGACATAATTAGGAGATATTTAATGTGAAAATAAAAGAATAAAAGAATAAAATAACGTAGCATGTTTACTTTTATCTAGGCTGTAGAAATACGCCCTGTTTAAATGAAACATGATCATATGGGATACGACTTATCTCCACCTACCTTTCTACAATCGCACTTCTAAAAAAGTAACATTCTAGGCAACAACCTAATTTGTTGTATCAACTGCAGTGTGACAAATGTTGAATATAAATCGAATATTAAAAACAAACAGCAGATTGTTTATCAAGGAACGAAGAATGGAATTATGCATTAAAAAGAGAATATAAATAAGTTAACATAAATAATAAATATTTTTTCTCCTGAAAGTATAATTTGTTTGGATAAGAACAGAGATCAAAATATGTATTTAATCTTCATTTCATGTTATTTTAAAGGTAACGATTCTCTGATGAATCCGATAGTTTCTCTAGCCTCAATTATCCACAGAATAATCCCCAATCCCTATGATTTCACGTAAAAAGAGGATTACACATATTTTAATAAGGCCAAATAATAGAAGGGCCACTTTAATTTTCATGCGCATGCAGACATCATTTTGAAGAAATCCCCAGCAATAGCTCTGAATATTGAATAACGTAGTAAAATATATAAATCGTGTTTCATTCCTTGGTGCAACTTGCTTCATGCAGCGTTCTAACTAAATAATGGTACATTATTATATTTTTATACAATATTTCACTTCAAAAGATGTGTTTTACAGTATAACTGGCCTGATCTCACAAAACATTAAAACCTCAAAAGTTTTTGTCAATTTATTAATATATATATATATATAAATATAATAATTTAATAACATCAATATAGTCACATAACTTCCCTCTTTTCTTTGGTGGGGTGAATCATGCGTGTACTGGTTACTATAGGAATTGGAGAATAAGATCTTAAACTCAATTTGCTCTTTTGAAAAATGTACCCTTATGAAAAAAAGAGAGAATAATTCTGTAATGTATGAGATTTTTGTGTAAAATATGCAATAAGTTGGATTCTCTAACAGGACTGAAATCTCTCTCGCATATCAAACCTCGGTGGTCTACTCAGATTTAATATTTTGTTGGCAATGGTGGGGGAACTACGTACCAAGTGGGAAAAAAAGTTAGTATGGTAATATTGTCTTCTTACCTTGAAATTAGTTACCAGGATAACTTTCATTTATGGATTCACACAGAGAGGCAAGCTAGTGTAAGTGATGCATTTATATTAAAAAAAGTAATATCTAAAGACGTGTATTAAAATAAGCCGGCAGAACTTTCTCTTACAGTAGACTGGCTGCTGAGTTCAATTCAATGGATATAAATATTGAGGCACGGAGATCCAATTTTCTATAATTTTTTTAGCCTTAAATATTAATATGTTTCCCTACTGCTGCCTTAGAGATATTGTTATTTATTGATGGAACAGGATCACCTACTGGGTAATCACAGACAGTTGGTAGAAAACCTAAATTTCCAGATAAGTATTTTTTTGTCAGCCCAGTTGGAGTCTGTTGGCCGGAGTTATTCCCATTTTTCCACCTGATAAGGCTTTCAATTAGTTTGAACCAGCACACTTTTTCTTTCATACGCACTTAATCGAATAAAATTACTTCATCATAAATAAAATTAGGCTTTGGCCTATCATTCTTGTTCTCTTCAAGCTGGGAAAAGCAATCTAGCTGACGGGGATGATAACCTAGAACCAGAGGAATCCGTTCAATGTATAATGCAGGAACGATACATTCTACAGCAACTTGGCCGGACCTGACTAGAACAGATTAAATTGCTTTTTTTTATATTTCCAATAAATAACACAATTTTCATTTTTTTTAGGATGAAAAAAACCAAATGATGACTACGAATGTGTGGCTGAAACAGGTAAAATCTTTCAGAGTGGAACAAGTACATTTATTGTTCTTTAACTGCTGCAAAATGTAATTAAATTCATGGGAAACTGATCATTTTTATGTATAAGAAAAAGCATAATGTGAAAACAATGTCATTTTATTAGTGGGGGTGAATAGCTTATCCATTCTGCTCCATGTCAGGAAAGATTCCCTTCATCTCACTTTGTATTAAGGAGGAGTTAAAGCGATACTCCACACAGCTAAAGCAGTTTATTTTGCTGCAGTCCTTTATGTGTGAAGAGTGTTTTCATTTTGTACAAAGTGCAGGTTTCATTAGAAATTGACACTTTTATAAATTAACCTTGTTATGTTCCCTGACTGTCAATCAGACAACAGGTCCTGTTACTTCCTGGTTTGGTTAGCTCAAGGGAGCTAAATGCAAGAGGCAGCAATTGCCCAGAGTACCTGCTCTGCAAAGACTTCTCATTGAGCTGCATTGGGAAGTCTGTAATTGGACAGCCACAGAAAGCCTGGGCGGAGTTAGAAGGGGAGGGTTTTCAAACGCTGCAGACAGTAATATGCAAGCTCTTTTTTAGATATACCCTGATAAAAATTCTTACTAATATGCATGCATGTTTTCATTGGGGTATATCTACAAATTTGAGAGTAACTTTAAAATTCCATTGACTCCTCAAATCTCTGTACAATACTCTGCTGGTAGGCTATTTCATGCAACCATGACTCTTTATATTGGAACAAATGTACTAAGAGTTCAAACGCTAACATATGAGCTATTGTTTGAGCTTGGTAGCAACCTTGAGTCAACAGCTTCAAAATGGCTTTAACGCGGTGAAACTAAACTCTGGAGTTGAACCATGTTTGAAATGAGCCCACCAATGCTGAACTGCTCACAAGTTAATTGGTTAACACTTTATTAGCTATTAAACTGTGGAAGCATTGTTTGAAAAATGATCGGTGGATCGATATGAACCAGGAAGAAGATTGCCGTGACCTCGTTCCCCACCCTTTGCACATCTGCACATTAATTACATATGACAAACGCTTCAAATCCATACCAACATGCTACAAGGTGGCAGCGATCAGGCGTCTCACTAGACAGGATGTACAGTAAATTGATTAGATATTTATTAAGGCGTCTGTTTGTGGCTCTGTCTGTTCAGCAAATAAAAGAAGAGTTTGCATTCTTAAATTAGGTTTGACATCGATATGTTTCATCTCTGCTACTTAGACATTTTATTCAATATTTCTCAATGATATCTGACTATTAAATGACATTTAGTGTATTAAGTGATTTGGATGGATTATGTGGATTTATTCTCCCTTAGTAATAAAAAGAAAATGTTCTCTGATAAAAGGTCGGAGCTTGTTATTGTGATGTTTTTTTGGCAATGATGATAAGAGGTTCAGTTATTGTCTTCATTATGAATTCGGTTGGCACTGTTAGTGTCTCTATTTCTTTGCCCACATGATAAGGAATGTGTTCTCTAAATTCTCCAAAAGCTATGGGAACGGCATGCATTTTATCAAAGACCTCCAGAGCTCAGCAGCACTACTGCGAGATTTGGGCTTACCTCAGGACTCGCTCACTGAGATGGGGACTCACACTACAACCTCATCCCACACCTGGAATCCGACAAGAATCAACCCATTTATTCCGCAAGGGGCAACACCGGACTCATACGCTGCTGTCACCACCTGAATGGAAACTCATATTTCCCCCTTAAGCTACAAGCACAAGGCCTAGCACTCCGAATCTGTTTTACTTTATTTTTATGATGCAGTACTTTCGACACAGATGTTTTCATTACCATTGATGGTATTATTAATTTGAACCGACTCCTGTTAGAGGAACAAACTCACTGCTGCCCCTTTTGCACCTAGGGTTTAATGTGGCTACTGCCGCTCCCATTTTTATGGTCTCCTGACTTACCTGCAACATTCTAGTTACTATGTTACCCAATGGTCCTCACCTCTAACGATAATCTCAGTACCATGGTCTTGACAAGCAGGTACCTTAACATTTTCGTTTACAATGTTAGACCTGTGTTACTGTAATTCCTTATGATTATACCATCTACCCGTGCATAGATCACTTGATGTTTAAACCAAAGACTCTCGTATCATCAATGTCAGTTTGCATAGCTTGTTTATACACTGTTTATTTACGCTGTTTATTTGTGACTGCCCACTGATATATACCACCAGACCGTGTTATATATATATATATAAAAAAGAGTCTGAGATACCCAGTAGTGTATTGTGCATAACCACTGCATTATTGCTATGTATTCAACAGACATAACTCCTTTTTTCTTATGTGTACTGTACCCTTCCGTGCCTCACCTAAATAAAACATTTTT